ACCCAACAACATCTGAAGGACCATTTTGCAATTAAATAGATTAACTGGCAACATGTCTGTAATATGGGTATAAAAAGGTTAGGAAAGGAGAGCTTCTATGAATTAAAAATGGGCAGAATTTCAACAATTTGCAGTTTCATTCTAGTTGATGTCTGCTCAGGAAACTTAGGAGGTGGAACGTACGGGATGTACAGTACAGTGGTGCAGTACATCCCTAGAACAACGTCTAGTTTTGTACTTTTAAAGTGTAACAGAATGAAGGTGATAAAGATATCAGCTGAGTGCAGTTCATTCATTGTATTCTCTCACTCTTTGTCTCAGGTTGGCTCCATGAGCTGGCCAAACGTCTGGGTACCCCGTATTTCCCTGCTGCCCTGACAACGCTGTTCCCCTCCACGGTCAGCAGCATTCCAGCCGACAGCAGTCAGTGGAACGTGTCTGGGTCAGAGGTCGCAGGGCAAGGAACCTGGAATTCTAGCCAGCATTACGGGAATGTTTCAGGAAGCGAGACTGCATCTGGGACGGCTGGTGGGAGTGGGAGTTTCAGTGTGCTGGACGGCGGGCCATCAATGCGCAGCAGCTATGTGACCTCCCTCTACTTTGCTCTGAGCAGTCTGACCAGTGTAGGGTTTGGAAATGTGTCAGCCAACACAGACTCAGAGAAGATCTTCTCCATCTGCACCATGCTCATAGGAGGTAAGGAATGTGTGCACACATCTTAGTGCTTCCTCTCAGAGTTTGAAGCTCTTATTCTCCTCTCAGCCTGAAGTACTCGTTCAGCTCTTTTTCAGGTGTGGGTGAGTCATAAACAAACAGCTGCACACATTTTGTTCCATCCCTGGTTTCAAAAGTGTTTCTTTTTTTCAGTAAAACTTGTATGCAAATCCTCTCACTCACTGTCTCATTACTCTCATTTTCCAGATTGAAAGGTTTCATTACTTGCTTGGCCATGAAATTCTTTTGTTGTTCTCAAGATGCATCACAAGTACTGAGCAGATTTAAATGAAAATTTTGATTCAAAGAAGCAAGTGATGATGCATAAAAACACTTGCTAAATTTATGATTTATGAGGATTTTTTGCCTTTTTGTCATAAACTATTATAATGACTGTCTCTTTCTTATTCTTGATTCCATTTTTGTTTGAGCCTGTTGAACGGTTGTACATGGGCTCAATAGTGGATCTACTCTAGCTTAATCACAGATGAAAGATGTGTTCGACTTACAGTGTGCTACTTGTTTGAACTCTGTGTTCTTATGCGTGTCCTCTTGGGCCGCAATGAAGAGAACTGAATGTTCACGAAGAGAGCAATAAATGAAGAATCGGGAAAGAAATGGAGTCACTGGAAAGGTTATCACGAGAGAAATGCAGCAATTTATGGGCAGAGGACACAATAATGTGTGCAGATGTCTCAGACACACACACACACACACACACATTTCTTTTTAGTGGGTTAAACCTTGACATTAACCATAACTACTCACATGCAGTTGTGCAAGTAAATACTGAAAGACACATACAGACACACACACTCAGCTAATAGGTGGGAAAACACATTCTGCAGACAGCTGATAGAATCTGTGTCCAACAGTCGTCCAAGAAAGAAAAATGAAATCTATATTTCCCAGTCGAGTGAAAGCAACACTGTAACTTTAACAAAGGCTGATTTAAGTGTGCATATGTACTCTGAACCAATGATGTCTGCATGTATCTCGTAGATGGCAGGAGAACGCTTAATGTAAGAGTTACAGGGAGTTCTAGCTACTGTCATGGTAAATGGTAAATGGACTGATTCTTATATAGCGCTTTTCTACTCTCCCGGAGTACTCAAAGCGCTCTATACAACATGCAATCAGATCATCAAAGTACTTTTTCCACCACCGTGTGGCCCGTTTGTTGCAACAGCAAGTAGGCATTTGTTCATTCTTATTTTCAAAGAGTTCTGCTACAGCAGCACCTTAGACAGCACACTTTGACTGTGTGATGGAGGTTAATATGTGCATTTTGCTAATTATGGAAATGTCGTAACTTCTCAATCTGCCTACAGTAGCATGAATCTGCCTTTACTTTACCTATGCCATCCTAAAGGAGGACATGTCTATACACAATCAGGAACAACTTACTTTAAAATTACCCTTTTGCTCTGGATGCGGTCTTTATCCTTCAAACTTGGGTCCTCTACCTAGGAGTCCTGTACCGTATTGTTACTGCTCCTAGGACTGTGCTCTTCTGGACACAGATCTCTGATATCGTTCCTGAGATCTGTGTCCAGATGAACCACTTGCTCAGTTTGGGGTCACTGCCCTGAGTAACTCGGAGATCACTGTTGCCTTCACCTTCATATTCTCTAGTTCCTCTCAGCCCTTGGTATTTCTCGAGATTCCTGTGTTCCTAGTTCCTGATGTTGTTATCACTTGTTATACCCACTCATCTATCACTACAGCTGTCGTCCACCATTATAATTGTCCTGTTGGTATCTGGAAGTCCCACAGCATTGGTTATTCTCAACCACCCTAGAGATCATATTCCATTTTGACCTTGCTTTGATTGCTAGCATCCTAGCTCCTTTGTTAAAGGAGATTGCTGTTGGATTGAATGTAACAGCAGTGAGAGTAGACCACAGCTTCATTAATCTCTATAATGTTTTCCTTAAACATAGTTTAATGTTCTCTCGTGGTAAGCTGCTGCACACAGATACTATGAGCTATAACTTAGAGATAATTCAGCCTTTTAAAAACCCAGTTTCTTTATAAAATGAAGCCATTAGTCTGGCTGTCAGTGGACCGTGTAAGTGTCCCCGTGGTCTGACTGCTGTTTCAGCAGCTTTTCAAACTGCTTTTAGGAAGAGAAACTGCTGTGTGGCTCCCTCAGGAAAAGTGCATTATGAAACGATTCCAGTCTTTGGGGATAGCTGCTGGTTAGCTGTGCTCACATTAAGACCAAACCTGTGTGTGTGGCACTGTTGAACAAATATGCTCACACTGGGGTTGGAGCTGTTTTGGGGTTTGTTTGGAATAATAATTTAGTTGTCATTGATTAGAAATAAAAGGTTTTCTGAACAGTGGGATTATTTTTCAGCAGTGTGTTACTGACATTCTGTGAAAACCGTAATCTACTCTCGGCAGTGCTTCACAGTGGTTTTAGAGCAGCTAAGTCCTTCTAAGCCCTGTGCTTTTTAACTTCTCAGGGCTTATAAAGACATCCCATGAAGCTTCCTGCTGCGCAGAAGTATTATGGGACTTTAATGAGGTCTTTTCTAGAAAGAAGCCAATCGAGCCGCAGTAATTAATTCTGTATCAAACTAGAAGCGCACCGAGAACAATAAAGAAACCTTTCCTCTGTGTCCAGCACTGATGCATGCAGTTGTGTTTGGCAACGTGACGGCCATCATCCAGAGAATGTACTCGCGCCGCTCGCTTTACCACACCCGCACCAAGGACCTGAAGGACTTCATCAGAGTCCATCGGTTGCCCAAAGCTTTGGAGCAGCGCATGCTGGAGTGTTTCCAAACTATGTGGTCGGTCAACAACGGGATCGACGTTAGTGAGGTGAGAAGCTGCTGTTTATGTTGCACTGCTTACACAGAGTTTATAGCCTCAAAGATGCTCTCCACTAAACAGCTTCACTGTTCAGAGGAACCAGAGTTCAGCACTGGATGTCTTGTTGTCTGCTGGAAGTTTTATCTACACCTTGAGTTGAGAACAGGGTCCAGTGTACAGCTTGAGATGAAAGCCTGCTCTGAGAATACAATTAGGTCAAATCATTTCTTGCACAAAAACATTTCTTTGTGGTTTAGCCTCTTATACTCCAGAAGAGTGGATTTTAAATCAAACTGACTGAGGTGCAGACTTTAAGCTTGAAATGAACACAACACGTTTTACATAAACTTTAGTGAGAATTGTTTAAGAATTACAACCATTTTTACGCATTGTCACTGAGAAGTTTGCCAGTTCTTACACCTAAGCGACACTTTAACACGTCGGTGGTAAAGCTGTGAGCTACAGAAACAGAATAGCATAGAGGTCACCAGTGCTTTTAGGTGTCAAATCTGGAACTTTTCTCTGACTTTAATTTTAAGATTTTCTCAATTATAAATAAATCAGGATTATTGGAAGGATCTATTTATATGTTGCAGCTTGAAAAGATTTGCCCAAGGCAAGTAAATATGCTAAAATTAAGTGCCTGATATACCACGAGCAACCCTGAGTAATGTAAAAAAAAAAAAGAGTAGTCTTAGATTATTTCATCATGTCTTAAAAGCTTCTCTGATCTTGCATGTGGTTTGAAATGCCCACTGAGTACTTTAAACTCTCTGTGAGGTTATCACATTTTTACATTTGGAGAGGCTCTTCAAGTCTGCGGCAAAGTGTTATTTTTTTGTATAAAACTATATGGAAGTCTGTTTTAAAGTAAAGACCAGCTGTTCAGTGTGAACTTTCACTTCACAGCTTCTGAAAGACTTCCCAGATGAGCTGAGGGCTGATATCGCCATGCACCTGAACAAGGAGCTGCTCCAGTTGCCTCTGTTTGAGTCAGCCAGCAGGGGCTGCCTGCGTTCCCTCTCCCTCATCATCAAGACCTCCTTCTGCGCTCCAGGGGAGTTCCTCATCCGGCAGGGAGACGCCTTGCAGGCTATCTATTTTGTCTGCTCAGGTTCCATGGAGGTCCTGAAAGACAACACTGTGCTGGCTATCCTAGGTAAGTCAGAGAAACAGTAAAGTTCTCTTAAGCAGAGAACACGATGTCCTGTCAGTGTGTTCCAGGATAACAACATTTCTCAGTCAAGTTGCCAAACTGCAAAAAAAAAAAAGGATCACACGGTTACTTAATTAAACTAAAATGTAATTAGGATCTTTGTTGTTTGAAGGAAGGACACAGAACTGAGTGAGAACTACACGGGACACCCTCGGCTCTGACAGACAATTATCTTTGAAACTGAGATTTGGAGGATGTGAGATGATCTGCGGGACATCGTGCTGAATATTAAACGAAGGGGGAGAATGGTTCATTTGAGAATGTGCCGGCTGAATGTGTGCCTGTGTTAATATTAAGTGCTGCTAACGAAGTATGGACTTCAGAGGGGGAAAGAGAGATCATCTCTCAGTTCAGTGATTACAGTTAAAATAATTTCACAGTGCTGGCTCAGACCTGCAGAGCAACCTGGTCTGGAGTGTCTAATGGAAATTAAAATTGATGATGGCGAAAAAGGAGAAGGAAGGCAGGACATAAAACGGGTGTGTGTTTGTGTGTGCGTGTGTGTGTAATATTCAAACAAAGGGGAAGACGAGGCTGAAGGCGAGCTGATAAAGAGCAGCTGTTTATGCTCTGCTGCTTTAAAGAGACGTTTCCAAGCTTGATACAAGCCGAGAGAGTAATGATTTCCCACAGTGTTGATCCTGTGAGCTCGACAGAATAATCTTCTATTTACTGTGAGCAGAGATGAAACAGGTCTTACACTGTATGCACCTATAACCAAACTAATGAATGAATGGATGGATGGATGGATGGATGAATGAGGGTTTTTGTTGGCAGTTTGGCACTTCTGTTTTAATCTTTGTGCTGTCAGTTAATGTAATGAATCTAAGAATCAGATGAGGCTGGAGAACTTTATTCCTTACATGGCAAAATGTAGGAAAAACCTCTGCAGTGAAGGAATCTTGAGGCTCTGTAATGCAACGGAGGGAATTTTGCTGGCAAGGAAGAGAAGCTACAGTTTTCAATAGTTGGTCCAACTGTTACACACATTTATAAATCCCTTTTCTATGCAGCACACATATGCACACAACATATATGATTATGGTTCTGAACAACGACACCAAGCCAGTGTTTGTAGGCAGCATAGTGAAACTCAGTGAGGCCTACCTCGGCCAACGAGTTTGTTCTGTTTGTTACACTGCACTGCCAAAAGTATTCGCTTTTCTACCTTCACACACATATGAACTTTAATGGCATCCTATTTTTGTTCCATAGGGTTTAATGTACCATATTTTTCGGACCATAAGGCGCACCGGATTATAAGGCACATTAAACAAAACAGTCAGATAAGTCAAACTTTACTCAGCTCATTCTTCTTGCTTCCTCCACTTCCTCATCTTTTCTCACTGTTGCTCTGCCATCACAGAATCTCTGTGCTGCATCACTGATTTGTCACTGAAACACAGACCCGCTCACACACGTGTGTCTCCTACCTGGTCATGTTAAATCCAGAGGTGCATGACAACACCAAAGCACACGCCAGCAGCTGTGTTTCACTCTTCACACAGGTGAGAGCGCCGACCACAAAGCGGCGGTGAGGCATAAACAGAGAGGCACACATACGGTATGCATAATAATGTTGGCTGATGTCTATAACAGGTATAGTCTGTGGCCTATGATAGTGAACATTGTTGGGGTCATTACTCAAAAAGAAAATAGTTCAGTTACTGGGTAACAGAGCGTAAGATGAATTTTCTGGCTAGAATCCCACACGCTGACACAAATCACTGGGGACAGTTTTAGTGTTTACTATGAATAGCAAAGGTGCAAACCAGCCCAAAGAGCACAGGCTCAAATGCACGCTGCAGTTCTACAAGTCTCACGGCTCATCAGATGCTTTGGTTACCTGCAGAAAATCAAGCTTTTGGCTCCTTGGCCATGGGCAGCATGCACTATGGATCTGGGGTTTCTCACTACTAGACTTGTGTTGGCATCTGTCTTTGCACATACTTACACATACTGCTGATGTCAGCAGTGGATAGGTGCCGATTTCCGCTTCACATCCGTGTCTTTTTGTGCAATAAAAATAAAATGAATGATCGTGTCGACCCTCTTCTGAACTTGCAGACCTGCACATGACTTGAACACAAGTGTCTGATTTAATCTCTTTTGGTTACTGAATTCAGTACAGTAATGTGTTACTTGAGCGAGTGGGGATTGCAGTTTTTGTCGCAATTTTTTTTAGCCATGGAGGTTGGTGTCTGAGAGAAGCGGGTTTTCACAAGACACACAGCTCTTTTGGAAAACATGTTTCTTTCAGCCAGTTTACATGATCAACATAAGTACTTATGAGACTCCAAAATGTTTAGTGGTGATTAAATCGTTGGCAGAGCTTGAACTTTAAACAGCTTGTTTGAACGAGAGGATGAACTGAGGAGCTGCTCAGAAATTGAATTAGCGATTAGTAGGTCCCTTTTAATTTGAAACTATTACACATCCTGACAGTAGCTCAGCTCTGCTGGCGTGTTCAGGAGAGTGACTGGAGCTTCTACTCACACACTTGAGTTATTAACCTCCCACAACAGGGGAGCAGTGACATTTTCCTTGCAAGCCAGTAACACCTCCACCTCAGAGTTTAACTTCTCACAGGCACCTGAAAAGCAAAAACCCTTTAGAATCTCACCGTGATTCGTTTATGGTTCCACGATTTCTGTTCGAGAGTGCAACTATCAAGGTTCTCACACATCACAGAAATCTTATAAACATTTAAAAGATTAAAAAAATGATTTGAAGAAGCATGGGAAGTAATAGGCTATCTTGAAATAGGTATGAAGGTGCATCAAAGTTGATTAATGTTGCTGTATGAGCTGTCATGGGTGTTAGTAGCTTTCAAAATATTTTTTGTCAGATGTCTTCACTGACAGCCAAAAGCTGTAATTAGAGCGTGGTGCAGGGTGAATACTGTGGGTGTCTTGGAGCGATTTTTTTCTTACTAGCCACATGCCAGTAAGAAAACATAAGTATGAGCTTGGTATACAGTATTACCTCAGACTCTTCCAAATGAGAAATGTGGTTCGGAAATGTTCTTCAGTCCTTGCTGTTGCGGCCGGTTCTGGGTGTGCTGTGTAGGAAGGCACAAACTCTTTGCCAACAAAGTTGTGACTCTGTGGAAATTGTGAAACAGAATGCAGCAATTGGCAAATGTTTTAAACCCTATTTGTAACTGAGAGAGTGCAGAGAAAACACAACAAATGTTTTTTTGCTGCCAAAACAGTCCTGACCTATTGAGACATGGACTCCACCAGAACGTGTGCTGTTTTATCTGACTGATGGTAGCGACAGGTCCTGTAAGTCCTGTAAGCTGAGAGGGCCCTCATGGATCGTTCGTCCAACACATCCCACAGATGCTTGATTGGAGTGAGATCGGAGGAATCTGGAGGCCATGTCAGCACCTCAAACTCATAGTTATGCTCCTCCTCATTCCTGAACCAGTCTGCTACTTTGTGGCAGGGTGCATTATCCTGCTGAAAGTGGCCACAGCCATCAGGGAGTACCGTTTCTATGAAATGATGTACAGCAGCGGTCCCCAACCTTTTTTGCGGAACGGACCAGTTTAATGTCCGACAATATTTTCACGGACCGGCCTTTGAGGTGTCGCAGATAAATACAGCAAAATAAAATGATACGGCCGAGACAAAAACTGTGGTATTCTGTAAGTATCATAATAAGTTTTAACATTAATGGTGCCTCTAGATATGCATGCTGTTAGAGTGAAGCCATAACAGGTGCTGGCTTTTTATGCTAAAAACGATTTAGGTTGGAGAGTCCAGCGTCCATGATTTTTCCAGTTGAATTTCAGATTGTGACTAGTCAGCCCACAGAGCAGTTTGGTCCTCACCTCAGTTCACTCTCCACATGTCTAAATGTAGCGCCCAGCACCCAAAGTAATTGTAAAGGATGTAACTGCAAACAAAAGAGCTGAGAAACAAAGTCACACATAAGAAAACACAAAGATGTAACCTTTCTAATACTGTTTGTGTTTGTGCACCAGTGTGTGTGCGCACATGCAGTGTGAGTGCATGTTAGTCTCTGGGGATGTGAAGGCAGAAGCCTAATATTAAACAGGGCTGAATTTGCAGACACAGTGTGGGTGGAAACCCAAATAGTCATGCTCTGCACCTTTACCACAGACATGAATATCACAACCACCAGCGTACCATTACATCCTATGTTTCCACCTTAATACAATTCACACTTCATTTATTCTTTCATATTCCTTCATTAGGAAAGCACTGAGACTGCTTTTTTCTTTCTTTTTTACCTTAATCTTTTATTTTTTCTGGTCTGTGCGACGTGAAAGCTGCACTGGTGGACTGTTAGTTCATGTCAGTTTAGCAGCTTGCACACGTGCAGTGAGGATGGAAGATCAGACTGACAGGTCAAGGTCAAGGTCAAGGTAACTTTATTTATACCCAAAGGCAAGGTAAATTTGCTTTACAGAAAAATGACAGCATTTGGCATCCCTTTAAAAACATACATGGGCATGAGTTTCTTTAATGCCATTTGCAGTGACAGCCATTCATCCATTTATTTGCTCTTTTGAAGTGTGGAAAGAGCAGAGTCCTGCAAAGTTCACAGAACTCTTTGCACTGGTGGAGCCCATCGTGGTACAGTGTTCTTCCAGGAACTGTTCTGGACCCTGATGGACAATAAAACAGATTAATCTCAAACCCATGGCCGGTCTCACATCATCACGTGTCAAAGTGCAACTGCACATGATAAATTAGAGTCACAGCCACAGACAATTATCAGTCTTATTTTGTTCTGCAGTATGAGGCTGAAAATCCTGAATCATAAACCCACACACCAATTAGCAATAATAGTGTTTCAAGACAGTGCCATACAACTTTATCAGAGCAAAAACATTTTATCCCTAAACAGGAAGCTGCCGGGAAATAACATGACTTAAAGACTAACTAACTAACTCAAAATACTGGGTCAAAATGACCCAGAACTGTTATTCGTCTGCCCTGGTTATAGAATACATTCAGAAAACTGTGCAAAAAAATTGTACCTATTGTACCCTCCTGTTTTCAAAACGTTAACTCGATGATTGCATGCATGCAATGCTTTTAGAGGACACCTGTGAATTATATACAGACACTGTGCTAGTCTAGAACAGTGCAGTGACCCACTTACTTCATCTGAAGTCTTAGTGGGTCATTTTGGTCTGTTGGTCATCACCGAGGCTAATGTTCTTCATCTCGTACTGCTTACGTTAGCCTGTAAATTTGGTCTTCAGTTGACCTTTACTTTGACCATCACACAGAATCACAACGACTATGGAGCGATGTATTACTTAAAACTGAATTAACAGTATGTGACACCAGTAAAAACATTGACCTTTTATTTCATCACACCCCCATGCTAGACCAAGATGCCTAATTTATTAGATGGCTAGATGGGAGCGAGGGGTAAAATAAGAAGAGGGAAGTATGAGATGTTGATTGAAAACTTGCCTTTAAAAAGATCAAGAGCAAAAGAAAAATCCTACTCAAGGCATCAAATCAACGACGTTGATGAATTGAGCTCCGTCGATAAGCCTTTGTTCCCTGCCCTCATCACTTTCACCTACACTTTTATGACGAGACAGATACATGCACTTAAATGTCACTTGCAAGTGTTTGTCTCCTGCTCAGTTTAACATTTTGCTGCGATTATGAGCCAAAGCGCTCCTTGTCGCTGCTGTCACTCTTGGTCACCCGTCATCTTTGTGACAGCGCATTTGTGCTGAACTGCAGGGGGGGATGTGAGTGACGTAAAAAAGACAGCCGGAGCATAAGAAGGGCCCATCGTGCCAAATTAAGAAGCAGCACAGATTTCAGGGTGTGGGCTGCAGATGACAGTTGGATGGTGCCGAGTGCAGAGGCAGCAGGACAGCGAGGTGGTTCAAGGTTCAAAGGAGGGCTGGAAGGCCGAGTCCAGTAACTGCTGTCGCTCACGTGGCGTGCGTCGAGCTCTTGCTCGCCCTACCTCTCCCCCTTCCCTCACTCTTTCTCACCCTGCCCCTCCATTTCTTCTCATGCCAGTCTGCAGCCACCCCCACATTGTGTCCCTCTCCACTTCCTCTCACAGCTCTCTTGATTCTTTCGTCTTCCACCCTCCCTCTTCTTAGTCCACCTCCGCACTCCATCACCCTTTTTAGGTCCCTGCTCGCCTCTGCCCTTCTCCGCCCCGCCTCCCTCTATTTTGCCTCTGGTCTCTCTCTGCTTGTTTTTCTCTTCAGCCCCCTCTTTCTTTTCTTTGCGTTGTGGCTGTGCAGCCTCGTTCCTTCTTTGTTTGACTTTTTCCCTTTCGCCCCCCCCCTCCCCCATATACTGTGGGGGGTCTTTGTCTGTCTGATGCCTCACAAACACATTTCCATTTTCTTTCTAACATCCAACCATCCAATCCATGCCTTCACTTAGTAATCGATGCAATCTATGCTGCTCATATACATTGTATGGTTGTATGCTAACTGTATATTGTGTAGTTATACACAGGACATGGTAATGTGACCAGCATTGTTATTTCTGACAATTTCTTCTAGTGATTTATTTACAGAGCAGCTTAGAAAAAGGTGACATCTTTGCATTGTGTCTAAAGTCAAAACTCTCCTCCTCACTAGGGTCTCAAATAGATTCTGTCCCAATTAGCCACATGCTAAAAAGCATATTTTTATAAATTAGAGGATGTTTGCTTAATTTAGGTGGTCATACACACGTGTTCACTAGTCTGCTTTCACACACATATGCACACTGGATATATATGATTATGGTTCTGAAGCACAGCACAAAGCCAAGTGTTTGTAGGCAGCATAGTGAAAGTCAGTAAGCCAACCTCAGCCAATGAGTTTGTTCTTCTTGTTACACTGTACTGCCATAACTGCCATAGCTGCAGCTATAACAGCTGTAGCTCCTCAGGGAAGGCTCTCACAAGGTTAAGGAATGCGTTCATGGGAATTTTTGACCATTCTCCCAGAATCACATTGGTGAGGTCAGACACTGGTATTGGATGAGAAAGCCTCGCTCTCAGTCTCCCCTCTAAATGATCCCAAAGGTGTAAGTCACTCATCCATGTCTTTACGGACCTTGCTTTGTGCACTGGTGTACAGTCATGTTGGAACAGGAAGAGGCCATCCCCAAACTGTTCCCACAAAGTTGAGAGAATAAAGTTATTCAAAATGTCTTGGTATGCTTCTTTTCACTGAAACTCTGAGCCCAGCTCCTAATAATAATAATAATAATGGATTGGATTTATATAGCGCTTTTCAAGGCACCCAAAGCGCTTTACAATGCCACTATTCATTCACTCTCACATTCATACACTGGTGGAGGCAGCTACGGTTGTAGCCACAGCTGCCCTGGGGCAGACTGACAGAAGCGAGGCTGCCATATCGCGCCATCGGCCCCTCTGGCCAACACCAGTAGGCGGCAGGGTAAAGTGTCTTGCCCAAGGACACAACGACCAGGACAAAGAGCCCGGGGATCGAAAAACAAGCACACCATATAATCCCCCTCCATCAAACTGTACACTTGGCACAATGCAGTCAGACAAGTACCGTTCTCCTGGCAACTGCCAAACCTGGACTAGGCCTAGACCTTCCAATTAGTAGATTGCTTGTATCTACTAATTCGGTCCTTGGCTGCTCTACTCCGCTAAGGCTGTACAGTATGTTTCATAAGAAACCAATTGTGTCAAGGCAGCACAGGCTACTAGTGTGCTAATATATGGTAAAGCTTACCAAAGTAAGTTACACTGTGCTGCTTTATGCAGGTGGTGTTGGTTTATATAAATTGAAGGGACCAGGGTTTGCAGGTACATTAGACATATGCAAACACATGTTCCCACGCTGCTGCTGAGATGACTTCACAGGTCCAAATCTTTAATCTTCCGTCTTTGATGATGTGCTGCTCAGAACGTCAGTGTGTGAAGCTTAATGGCTGATGATGTTCTCTCAGGTGTTGACAGCTAGTGAGAATAGGCTGCCTCTAAACAGCTGCTTCAAAGACAGGTATAACTCACTTTGTCATCCCCCTCCCCAGGTAAAGGAGATCTAATTGGCTCAGACTCCCTGACGAAGGAACAAGTGATCAAAACCAACGCTAATGTCAAGGCCCTGACTTACTGTGACCTGCAGTATATCAGCCTCAAGGGTCTCCGAGAGGTTCTCCGACTTTACCCTGAGTATGCCCAGAAGTTCATCAGCGAGATACAACATGACCTGACTTACAATCTACGAGAGGGCCACGGGGCTGATGTGAGTACCTGTAGTAGATTCATGATGGACTTACTGTTTATGTGCGTTTGTCAGTGAACTTGTGAATGTTTTTGTTAGTCTACTGCACATTTTAAAATAAGTACACTTGAGCTGAATTACACAGCTGCAAATACTGACCAGAAATGATCTATAAAAGACCCACAATCTAATAGCACATACTTCTTTGTGTAAAGATCTAAGATTATATATGGATATCTATGAAAATTAAAATAATTATACTTTTGACCTAATTTATGATCTTGTAACACCTTCACTGATAGTTTTACTAGTAACTTACTAGTTTTAAGTCTTGTTCAATGCATCATATAGTTCATTTAGTAAATTATGAAACAGGATATTCTTTACACCTTGTGACCTTTCAATCTACAAGCTGTTACAAGTCATTCTCAGTCCGATTTATTATGGACTGTATATAAGATAAATGTTTACATCCATCAGTGGTGGCTGTAGCTCAGGAGGTAGAGCCGGTCATCTACTAATCGGAAGGTTGGTAGTTTGATCCGTGGCTCCTCTAGTCTGCATGCCATAGTAGGCCAAGATACTGACGTGTTTATCGCATCAGGTGAGCAGGTGTACATATAAGGTATACATGAGCATTCTACCACCACTACTTTAAAATACCCAGATGTGTGCACACACACTCTGACAACCCCAGCCATGAAAGGCATTTTCCCTGCTTCCATCAACACACACACTGTGTTTGGCTGGTGCTGCAGCAGCAGCGGATGGAGGGAAAAAAGTGTAGGGACAAAAATAGCTTAGTGTTGCTGTTTGAAGTTGTCCTGTTACTAAAAATAGAGCAGGAGGGGAGCATGGGCTCTCCCTGACTGGCTGTCCCCCCACAGCTGCTGCTAAGATTGGATCCTGCTTAATATAAATAGCTCTGCCAGCTGAGTAAAAGAAAGGGAGGAGGAGGAGAAGAAAGAAAGATGAAGGGGGGGGTTTGGTTAGCTTGTTTTCTCTTCTGCTCTTACTCTCTGCTACTCTACTGCAGTGCAGTTTGCTTCTCCAGGGATCAACACACTTACTGCAGAGTGTGAACATGTTGGTGTGTGACTAGAGGATGTATTATTCTAGATGCACAATCTGCTGTGCATATCTTAGTTCTGGTTACAGATGTCCATCCTGGTTATTAGTGTGGAAAAAAAAATTCTGGTATTTGCAGCCCAGGAGGGGAATTTGCATAGGTATCCAAGACAAGACTGGTGAAAAATGGAAGATAAAGCCTGCAGACATTCAGCAGCCTCTTCCTCACTTAAGTAGTATTTCAATCTACAAACTTATATGATGAATGACGGTGTTCAAGAATCAAAGACGTGCTGGGGGGGATGAAGAAAGGGTTTATGAAGCAAGAAAGATGAGAAAGAGTCTCCATTGCATAAATGATAGTTCACTGCTGATTCACTGGTTGCAGACTAACTGTCATGACCCCCCAGAGCCTTGGGCGAAAAAATGCAATGTGCATGACCAGCCAGAGCACAGCACGCACAGAACTGTGCTGCTGAAAAGACATATTGGAACAAGTTTTTAACTCTATGGCCATTCTCACAGGGGACCAACTTGCTCATCCTTGCCCTTGAGAGCACATATGAGTTACTATACATGCATCAGCTTCCATGCTTCCAAATCTCTGCCCCCAGCCCCGAACCAGCCGCACACATGATGCAAACTCCCCCACACTCTCGCACACAGTTGAGCAAGAGGATGGCGGCACGCGGCAAGCGCACACTTATCACGCCCCCGCATCGCAGAGCAGCTCCTTGGTGTGCTCTGGAGCTGGGAGCTAAGAATAGAACAGGAAAGCTAAAAATAAATTACAGTGGCACGGGTATGGAAGGGGGGAGCTGGCTGAGTGGAGGGCACTGGGGACAGAGGAGGGAAAAAAGGGAGGATGCTGAGCAGGCAGGGAAGGAGGGGAGAGTGCAGAGGGGAAAGGGAAAGCACAGGGGTGTTGGCTCAAATACATTCATAACTCACTGCACCAGGCGTTGTGTGCTAGAGCATGGGTGATGTCATTATTTTGAAGCCTGTACAGGTGAAACTGCTGGTTTAATAAACTAGCAGCGCTGCTACGCTCATTCTGACCTTGAGTGAAGAGCCACTGTTTGACACAAGTAACTGAAATTTGTATATTTTTACAAAATTATTGATTTTTTGGGGTGGCTAGAGTAAACATGCTTCTGGGAGCTAGAGCTCTCCTACAAGTCAGTCCTACTTATCTCACAAACTACCACAACACACTCTCAGTTGTTTGTGTAGCCTGTGATTCAATACATTTTGAACTAGTCTTTTTGTTTTTTCCACTTAAATTTCATTCCCTTGAATTTCTCCAGCCCTGCACCAACGCTGATCACAGCCTAAATTGTTCACTTCATAAGCAGGGACAAGGCTGATGGGAAACTGGGGAGGCTTGGGACTGTAACTGTCAGAGGAGTGTGTGTGTGTGTGTGTGTGTGTGTGTGTGTGTGTGGGAAAAGTGAGACGCAGCGATCTGTATTAAATGTAGCATGACAGACTCCTTTTTGGAGTCTGGCAAAGACAAAGAGACAAACAGATTCTCAAAAACAAAAATGAGAAATAATTGGCATTCAGCCGTTCACCATAAGCCTCTGCACAGCTCTTTCAGATTGTTCCCTCACATGTCTGCATCTGACACAATCACTCAAGGGTGACTGTGGCACACAGTGTGAAGTCCTCATTAAAAGCTGCTTGTGATGTCAGCAATCAAGAATTTAAACCCATCTCAATACTACTAAAGCGAGAACCTTAAAAGCAAATCTGAAATATGCCTTCTGTGCACCTTTATTTGGAATAAAAAGAAAGCCACCCATACATCAAATGGTGAATGGCCTGGTTCGTATAATAGTGCCGTTCTATAATATGTGTCATTCACACAAGCCCTTTTTCTACTTAAGAGCTTTCTTTTTATTTAACATTCACACTTCAACGGATGCATTAGAGTGCAAATCTAGGTTCTCTACCTTGACCAAGGTTACTGTGGCATGCAGACTCGGCCAGCCAGGAATCAAACCAACCACCTTCCAATAAGTAAATCACCTCCTGAGCTACAGCCACCTCTGAGTGAGACAGACTATCAAGCAAAAAGCCAGAAAAAAACATAACCATTATATACATTATAAATGATCAATTGATTTGCATGTCATTGAATGAAATAAATATATGATGCCCAAACAAAACATGACTTAGTACTTGATGAGAAACCTTTGTTAGCAAGCACAGCAGTCAGACGTTTCTTGTAGTTGGGATTTTGGCACGCTTTACAGAAGCTCCTGGCTGCTGACTGTTCCTGACGGCCTTTACATCATTAACAAGCTCCTCCTGTGTAGCTTTGGGCTGATCCACCACCTTCCTCGTGTTCATCATCATGAGGCAAGATCTTACATAGATCTCCAGATTGAGGGCGATTGATGGTCATTTTATATTTCTTCCATGTCCGAATAATCATACCAAAGGTGTCACCTTAGTTCTTTGAAGGTTCTTTGGTCTTGCCCATGGTGGTTTAGAAGTTGGAATGGAAGAAAAAGATTGTTTGAACAGGTGTGCTTTATACACATAACGAGTCGAGATCAGGTGTGAGTATCTGTAGTTGACTGATGGAGTGTAATCTGTATGCCAAATAGGCACACAGCCAATCTGTGTGAGCCAGCCATCAAATACAACTCCGTTAATAACGTTTATGTAATGTTGTTCACATTAAACATGCGCAAAGTTTCATATATATTGAGGGCAGTGTGTGTACAGGTAAACATGATGTAAGGAGGTGACATGGCTCTCAAAGAATCTTGAATTAAAAGAGAAGGTTATCCTGCTCAGAACAGCCAATCAACAGTCAAAATGGAAATTAGCCAGTGCCGCACTGATACAGCCGAGGTTCCCAACCGTTTTTTGAAAACTGTAATCTTATGAAGCGTTGTGTATCCAGGATCCAGAAAGTGACCACTGAATTTAAACTTACAGCTATAAAAATAACAAACTAACCACCAGAATCTGATCAGAGACGCTGGTCAAGTTGGTGATTTGCTTCGAGAGTCGCTTCTTAAAAGCACACATCTTCTCACTGAGCATAAAGCTCGGGCTTCAGGCTACTCTGGATTTGAATTATGGTAATAAGCGCAGATATCCCTGATGTTGGGTACACATAGACCTGTCTGTGAGCCCAACAGCCCCGCCCACCTTCTTTTAAAAACATTTTCTTTCTTTTTTGTGAAGAAATCAAAGGAAGGTGGCTTAAAAATGGAGGAAAGGCTTGTTGCAGACAGGAGGAACTGAGAGGCTGCACAAGAGGCCATGTATAAGAAATCAGGGTTAGCTTGAACTGTGAATGCAAAGCTATTCCAGATTAAAGTTTAAGAGTGTGTGTACAGGTCGCAACGTATACTAGAGGAATAAATAGCAGGCATCTAATAAGACCTGCAGAGCACGTCCTGCATTCAGTTACCTCTGGAAGAGAAGGAGCTCAAAAGTCTTCAAAAGAAAGAATATGCTGCTAATCAAACAATACCCTGAATGTTAAAAACATATTTACAGATTTACAGAACTTGTGTTTGCCTGCCATCCACTGGTTCAAGCTTGTAACTGCCTTTACAATCATTGTAAAGACAGTTACTAATGCTATGGTGATAAAAGAAATCCAGCAGGTGTGCGGGCTGATCCCGCTCATCCCATTTTAGTATCCAAGCTCCTCTTCTCTTTCTTTCAGGTGGATTGGGAGAGCAACGGTGGCTTGGTGAAGAAGCTGCCGTCCATCCGCGAGGATGAGGAGGGTGATGAGGAGCAGAGCTCCGTGTCCCGAGCTCCTCGCTCCCCGCTGCATCTCAGCAGGGGCCTCAGCTCGCCCCTGCGCTCCCCTCTCCTGCCGCCTCGGCCTTTCCGTGCTCCCTCCGACCACTCGCGCCCTTCCACCCTGCAGATACCAGTTGTGAGCTTGAGTGGTGCACCACCTGAACTCAGCCCCAGGTAAAACACACAGACACATAGTGTGAAACTGAAGATTGATTCAAAACATCATAGTCAGAGAAGAGCAATTGAGGAAAGTGCCGCAGTATAGGTGTCTGGCTGCCATGGCAACCACTAGATTACAGTGCTGGTGAATCACATGGGGCTCGGCTACTGTTGGAAGGCATGTAGGTTCTCACACACTGCAATGCACTAATGTGCATGCGTGCAGAGCAAACATGCCTATGTGTGTGCAGAGATGTCTCACGACCTCACTGTGTGCAGTGTTGTGTGATGCAAAGCTGCTGATGAAGGACTTTTTCCATGTTTGTGTTAAAAGATCCAAACAGTACTAACGGAGCTTTCAGCCCTTTTAGCTTCACCTGATTACATTCCTCTTACATGCTCTCTCTCATGTGTAATCTCTGCACAGATTTGTGGACGGCATTGAAACAGAGAACAATTCCACCACAACACAGAAGTTTGAGTTCAGCCCCAGCCTGTCACCTGCCCCTCCGCCCTCACCGTACGCAGGTAGCGCACCTACAGCCGCACACATTGGAGTACTTTTTCAGAACAGTACATTTTATCCGGAGGCCTAATCCTTCTGCATGTGTGTTGCCCGTAGGGATCCGTGAGCACTCTGAGATCAAGCAGAGTGTGTCTAAACTGACTGAGGAGGTGAGTGCTGACTTGACACTGATGATAATTGCATGTGTTCACTTCTGCCCCGGGGGTCTAATGTTTTCCTCAGCAGCAGAGGTTTGATTTTTCTGTTAGTCAGCTGGATGTTTCGCAAACGACACGAACAGGTCGTGCCTGGAAAAACATACAAATAAAATCCTGACGTTACGAATGCTGGCCCAAAGTGTCTAATGATATTTTAAAAATTATATTTAAAAGAGTTAGTAGTTTATTTCATTACTACCTGTAATTTATTGCAGATTACTTGTATTTGTTTAATTGTTTACTAAATGTTTGAGGTGTGAAATAAACCTCAATGGAGCAAAATATGGGTGTGTGTGGTTGGAGGATGTGTTTGTGCGTGCATGTGCGCGTGGAGGTGGGGGGTGAACATTTTTCTTGTAAAACAAAGGGGGGCCCAGCAGAAAAAGGTTTGGGAACCACTGCTCTGTGTGATAAATCACCAGATTAACAATTTTCTGCAGAATTCATCTTTTACCTTATTTGTAACAGTGTTGCATTTTGCAGTTATAATATGTTCTTTATAGATTTTTATACACTAATTTATCACAAAGAAGGTCTGGCTGTGTTGAACTTCATACATAGTATACTTCTCTGGGCTCTTACAATGCTGAGTTTTTTGTTTCATAACTTCAACTATGATAACAAACTCTCGCTCACTGGCAGGTTAGTCTCTCTCTAAAGTTTCCCCTCTTGCTCCACCTGAACCATTCATGAAGTTAGTTAGACATTTGTTTGCTTTGTTTTGTACTTAAAATGCACAATTTTTATTATCCAGTTGTTAAATATAAGGACAAGACAGAGACCATGATTACATCACAGATTTATTATCAGCTCAGAATAAAATCTCCATCTTTGTAACTCTTTGACTGTGTTGACAGGAATGCATTTGTCAGACTGTCAGCCAGCTTCTCTGGAACGTTTACTGTATGTTACTATAGCAGCCACCATTTAAATCAAACAAGCGTCACACACATAACACACTGATCATGTGGTCCACCTGCACTGAATCATTTGGCGTGTTGTAATCAGTCCCTGATGGAAAAATGTCAGTCTCTAAAACAGACTCTAAAACTGAACTAAATGTATGATAAAGGGACTTTTAAAATGTAACCTGCATGGTGAATGTTATGTAGTACCTAATTATGTTTTATGCAAACAAGGATTCAAGGATTGTTTGATATTTTTCAACCATGGTGCTGAATTGTCATACCGAATTTGCATGAACTGTTCTTCTGGTTTTCCAGCGTTAATACGATCTCTCTCTTCACCTCACAGATGAACGGTCTGTCTAAACAAGTTTCCAAGCTCAGTCAGGAGCTGCAGGAAATGACACGCCTGCTCAAGCCCCTCCTCCAAATGGCACCACAGCCAGTGCTGATGACCATGATGCCAAATTTAACATCACCTCCCAGTAGTGCCAGCCAGCTGTCATCAAGCCCTTGCCCCGGGGCGCCACCCCCTTCCACAGTTTTTTCCCACCAGAGACCTGACACTCATTCCCTGTTAGATAGCAGAGACACAGAGAGTTCAGATTTGCCAGGATGCCTTCTCCCAACTCCTCACTCACCAAAAAGGCCTAATTCAACTCCTTCAGCATTAGCAGAGACCCCGCCCAAGCCCCCAGGGGCCAATAGCCAAGGGTCTGCTGACTCCAACCATCAGTCGCCAGAGGAAGGATTTCCAGAGGGGCGCGTGGACTCCCGAAGACTCCGTGCCTCCTCCAGTAACGGGATATTTTTCCCCTCGCTGCAGGACCAACCTCCTCTGGCCTCTCGCACCCCTTCACCTTCACTCTCCTTCTCCATGTCTCTCTCTTCCTCATCATCTTTTTCCCCATGCCAAGGACCTCACCTCTCCCGACCTGGCAGTTGTGCCAGCAGAGGCCCGCTCATCCCACCTGCCTCTCAGGACACTCACCCTCCCCTGTCCTCTCACTTTTCAGCTCCACCATCGCTCACATCCTCCCCTGGAAGTCATCGGCTGAGGCCTTCCCCTTCCGTGCCAGTCGTGTCCCCTAACACCTCTGTCCATCCCTCCAGTCTTTCTCTGCCCTTGTCTTTGGAAGCTGCAAACGCAAGGAGAAGAGATAACCAGACTCCATCTTGGTGCAACTCACAGCGACACTACCGAGGGGCAAGACCCGTTTCTCACCCCCAGGAGCTGGAGATGCAGGAGCGGGGACGACACCTGGAAGAGGAGAAGTCCTCCTCAGAGCACATCAGTTTCATTGATGAAGAGGAGCCAGCATTATGAACGGCCTGTGCAAAAGATGTCATTCAAGTAGCAGGAAAGATGTAGGACAAGAGTTTAAAGAGGTCAGAGCAAGTGCAAGGTAAAGACAACAAACACAGGGAACAGAAAGCTGGTCCATTTCACACAGAAAGACATTTGTCAGGCAGGAGATGCCAGACGGACAGACAGGTAAACACAAAATACAGTGTGAAGGAATGCTTTCCTCTACAGATCAACCACAGAATTACAATAGCACAAACAGTCTTATAGCATCAATGATCCAGTAGCATGAGTCAAACACTGCAGAGCCAGAGCACATCTATTTATCTCTCCACCCTGATGAAGCTCTATCGCTTTTTAATCCTAGTAAGTCTCCTCTTCAAAGGGCAGGCACAAACACATGCATCTCGGCAGGAAACGCGTCTTTACCCAAACTAGATAATCCAAGCCAACTGCACTGGGACTAAGAATGTAAGCCCTTCAGTGGTCTCAGTCACCTCACCTGGAAGGTTCCTGTGCTTCATCAATGGGATTATTTTTTGGGGGAATGCAGTTATCTGCCCCTGGACTGGTTAAAAAAATACAGCTTTTTATCGAATAACCTCAGACTAAATGGTTCTACAAAGTGTTTTTTACAATGTTTCTTATTGCCCCCTTTCACACACACACACACACACACACACTAATGACAGCAGAACTGTCATTAGTGTGGCGCCCGCACTGCATTTGGGAACAACTTGGGGATTCAGTGTCTTCACCAAGAAAACCTGGTGATTTGTTTGCAGCCTGTTTTATCACCTAAGCCACAGGTGAGCCAAGAATTGATTACATGCCCATTACACACATTCACAAAGAAGATGTTGAGCTTGGTTTTAACTCAGGAATGCAAACTTGTCACATCCTGTAAAAAAAACTAAACAAAAAAACTGACATTCTGAATCCACAGACAGTATAAAAGATCGATGCAGCCACTGTGACCTTATCCCCAGGTTTGTGAAGTCCTGCTTTGAAGCCTTGAGATGAGTCGTCATCTCGGCTTTTGGGAACTGAACTTAACAAGCAAGTGGCAGTTCTGACTGTGAAACCACGTGCTCACTGACTTGTCAAGCTAGCCCAGGGAATCCTATTGACTCATAGAACAACCACAATTTCTAAAAAGTTCTTTATAGAATTATTACTTTTATACAATTTATATAAAAGTATTAATGTAGAGTCTTTACCTTACAATACAGAGGGCCTTGAGGTTCACAGAGTTCAAGCATGATTATCATTTTCTGACACTAGCACCAAAAGTCTGCGCAACCACAGCTATCGCCCCATGGTGGCCATTAGAAAGAATGCAGGTTTAGGTTTTCTTCTGCGTTAGCGTCATTTCTCATACCGTCCACGTCTGAATTCAGAATAGATCTATTGCGTGATTCGTGTAGATCCAAAGAAGGTGGTTGGTGTTTGCCTTCAAGGTTTTCTGCCAGAAAGATTGTACCTTACTCCAAACCCTTCGATCAGGAACTAACTGAATCAAAGAAGGATTCTGCAAGTCACATCCTTTTTCGTTCATAGAAAGATCCAGAGGATCTTTTTTTTTTCATATAATAATAATAGATTACTATGTAGTCAAAGTACTACTGTATACTGTGTCCATAAAGACTAAATACAAACCAGAATGTAAGTGTTAAAATTAACAACCTAACCACTGCTTGTTAACGCAAATATCTAGTCAACCAATCACATGGCAGCAACTCGATGCATTTAGACGTGCAGACCTGCTGAATTTCAGACTATTTCAGAAACTGTTGATCCACTGGGACTTCCCCACGTTTACAGAGAATGGCAAGAAAGAGACGACTGCGTGAAAAACTGTTCTCGATGCAAGAGTTCACAGAAGAATGGCCAGACTGCTTCAATCTGATAGAATCAATCTGCACAATACATGAAACCGTGAAGCAGGTGCAGAAGATTACTCCTGTCAGCCAAGAACAGGAAACTGATTCTATAATTCCCAAAAGCTCACCAAAATTGGATAGCAGAAGATTAAAAAAAGTTGCCTGGTCTCTTGTCTAACAGTAAAACTTGACAATGGCTGATTAATGTTTCTTCTGTTGGCTGCTGAAGAGAAGAGGTCTTCCAGAACACTTTAAGTATAGTTATTTAACTGAAATGGACCGATATTGCTGATGTAGCTAAATGCAACATTAACAGTTGCCTCTATATGGACAAAATGAAAATCAGTTCTATTAAAATCGCCCACAACACAAGGGATGCATGCACTGGAAAAATAGACTACTAGTTTGGATAAACATAATGTGGTTTAAGAGGGGTAACCATTCAAAAGATAGCTAGTTTAAGGGAGGGAGGGGGTCTAAAGCAGATTGTGTCAGACAATTATCAACTGAACTCCACCAGTATAAGATAAACCAGTCTCATTCTACATTATAAATCATCCTGTGCTACTCTAATAGAATCCAAGAACTTTATTACAGATACTATCTGGTTGCATTTCAGAATAAAATAAGCGGAGAGCTTTGCACTGCTGGTTAAGCAGATTGAGGCCGGTGTAGGAACTCTGAGAACTTTGAAAAGACAGATTCGTGGACAAAGGTGTAGGGAAAAGCTAACATCAAACATTCCCCGTGTCACTGCTCATCAGCATCATGATGCTGTTGACAAGCAGCCTATCAGCTCATATCTCAAGCAGGCTACTTTCATTCTAGGGTGTGGACATCCTTACATCAACTATAATCAACCTAATCTTAAAGTTAGCAGTCATAATGTTCATCTTTTGGGGAAGGGGCTGTCTTTCTGGGGAATTCTTGTCACATTGTTTCACTCTCGATCCACATTTTCTTTCCAGATCAAAAGAATTTGAGCACAGTTACGATCGGTCACTTTGGAAAAGTGTAGGCGAGTGTTTGGATTGTATGCCAAAGAGAGAAGACAGATTTGTGGACAAAGTGTAGGGAAAAGCTAATATCAAACACTACCCCTGTATCACTGTTCATCATTATGATGACTGTTGACAACCAGCCTATCAGATTGTATATCGAACTCCCACATCACCCCTGAGCTTTAGCCATTAGCCATTCGTGCCTTCTCCATACAGACATTGATTTCCCTAAAGTTCTTCACCTGTCGATTACAGGCAAACATCTGGATCGAAATTTACACAGAAAGCCATCATCTATGGGGAACACTTGCACCTTTATCTAAAACGTATTGTATTTATTTATTTAATACGGCTGTGTATGTATTTATTTTTGCTGAAAAAGCGGCGAGGAAATATTCTGCATGTCTGGACGATGTAACAAAAACAGACTGTGGAGGAAGGTTTGCTTTCTAAACGTCTGACTGGATCCTTTCCAGAGCGAGTGAGCGAAACCTTCCCCGAGTTCATATGTAGCACACACATTCTTCATCTCTTATTCCTCCAATGACTTCATGTTGGTACGTGAAAGCAGCCAAACCCTAAAACTGCAACATCCAGGCTGCATCAAGCTGGAGGTCTCAGGACTTTTTTTTTTTGGGCTTTGTGAGGTGCTTTAGGACCATGTTACTTGTATATATATGAACAGTCAGATTTCTGGCTTTTATTTTCTTTAATGGGAGCAAGGGAGGTGGTGACTAACTGGACTCTTTACACTTTCACAAAGATTTACTAAGCAAGAACTGGTGGCTGGGGAGGGTGCCTAAAAGGTTTTAATTCAATGCATGTCAAAACTTCTTTTCTTTTTTGCATGAGAAATGTGCCTGCTTTGAACTATCCAGAGCAGAGGGCTCATGGGAGTAGAAACCAGCCTGCCCAATTGAAGGCTGTTTGCTTACAAATGTATTTTATTAAAGACTGCTGTTACATTAAAAAAAACATTAACAAGGATTACATACTGTATAACAATAAAGAAGTGTTGTTTTGTAAGCTCTCCGTCTCTTGTGTTTCTCTTGGGAACTAATATTCACGTAACTGAGGTAAGTGGCTATTCTCTAAGAAGTAAACTGTAAATAATATTTTTTTAAGCCACTTTCCGAGTATATTGTGATTCAGTTGCCTCAAAAACCCGTCCATTTTTTTTCCTTTTTGATAAATTAAGTATTTATGTTTTATTAAACAAAATATTTATTCAAGTAAAGCCATCAAATATGGTTCTGTTATGATGTCAGCATTAAAATAAAATAAAAAAAACTAAAAAAACATGTGCCCCTTGGGCTGAAAGTGTCAGCAGCTGTAAGTGTAAAAGTGGGCTTCTCACTGAAAACCAACAGGGGCTCCATGCAGGACTCCAATCTTTGTGCCTCAGGTAATCATCCAGTTTTCATTTGAAGTGGCCCCATTTGTTTCTGACACCCACTGAACTAAGAACAAGAACACTTCTGGCCGTTCTCCTCACTGCATGCTTACATTTTGAGGTTGCTTGTGCTAAAAGCTTCCCAATTGCTCAAAATCCCTAAAAATAAATTTATGGTTCTTCTACTCTTTAACAACCCAAATTTGCCCACAGACTAATGGCTAATATGGCAAATAGCTTAAAGTATTATAATGTGTGGTAAAAGGCCACATCCAACTAGGCTTGTATTTATTATTTATGCTTTATTAGCCTTCATAACACCTGTGGCGTTGTCAGTGACCAGGTTAGGTTTTTCTTTTTGCTGCATGCTAAATCGGTACATTTTCAAATGAAGTATCACACACCTTGGAATTACAGTTATTCTGTTAAAAGCTTGAGTGTCTCAAACAGATGAAGGTTCAAACTGGCACCTTGTGTTTTCTTTGGCCTAGAATGCTACCAGTGCCTACATGTTTCAATTATTTTATGCAGAAAATGAAGCGTTGACTTGCTGTGTAGTGACTCCAGAGTTTAAACTTTGCAAATGTCAGTTCTTTGGATAACACAGTTAAGCCCAAACAGAACAGTGTTACTGGAAGGTTTAAAAGGTAAAACTGACAACCTTACAGGATGTGTTTTATACAAATTACATGGCAACTAATGGTAATTTTTATACACATACAAGTGCAAATATAAAACTACAAAGGAAACTTTACTAAACGATTGCATTTTTGTGTACTTGACAGCTGTGTGTACCACTGACTTGCGTTAATAGGTGTAACATATAATTGTAGGAATCAAATTAAATGAATCATTACCTGAACCGAGAAGAACAGAAAACTGATGGATTAGTGTTTTACACATTGAATAAAGCTCATAGAACATGCCTCATTAACCCATGTATATGTGCACTTTTCTATGCTTTTGCTACCAAAGTGCTTTCTATCAAACATTCATTTGGATTCATTGGAGAGCAACTCTGGTTTAGCATCTTGCCCAGTGATATTTGGCATGCAGAGTGGAGCGGCCAGTGATTGAACCACCTATGATCAGCAGACGCCCGGCTCTACAGACACCTCATCTGTGAGTTGACGAGTTTTGGAAGCAGCAAATACGGCAATTTCAAAGGATACTGTTCTTAAAGTTTGGAGTTTGCAAACCTAAGCTGTGCTGCCATGTTCTTCATGGAGTGAAGAGGCTTTCTCCTTTCCAAACCAGCCGTAGCTGTTCTTTTGGGTGGGGGTGGGGGGGTTGTATTTAATATGGATGTGGAGTCTGAGACCTTGGCTTGAATTTGCTGGGACATCCACTCCTGGGAAGACCTGCATCATTCTTTTTCACATGTGACTGCAAGTCTGCTGTCAGGTCAGCATCACATTCACACTCTGACATTACTGTGTGCAGCAGCAACAAGTCTGGAACACATTCTAATGGTTTATTTCAAATCCATGAAGCAACCCCTAACTAACAATGAATAAAAAAAATAAAATAAAATAAGAACAACAAAACCGGTGGGATTTTTAATACAGCAGACTCTCCAAGAAGAAATAAGACAACACAGGAACGCCTTCAGATCTGCATATATTCTCAAGGGTAACATTCATTCTATCAGAGCTTCAGTAAGGTTTGAAATGTCAGGACAAACGTTCTAGAAATATCCTGATCGGAGAAGAAATTACATAACAAAGGGGTGGAGAAACAATGCAGCACTTGATTCTGCTGTAGTGCATGTACTCATGCCTTAGTGTCAAATGATTCTTACTTTATTTCTTACATCTACTCTGTCCTCACTCGCCTCTCAAAAACACATCAAGGGAGAGAAAGCTGGAGGTTTGGGAATTTCATTTATCCCTCCTGACAAACACATGCAGGGGACTGCAGAGAGCAGCAGACATCGGTCTTTCTCGACAGGAGGTGTGAGGGATGGATACATTAATCCTCTTTTCCCAGGTGTTGGGTGTAATTAATAACCGCAGGTCTGTGTAAGCACTGCATTTCTCAGTGGGATCATGAGAAATGGTTACTGGAAATAAGGTTACTGGACAGAAGTGACAGGCTTCTCCGCGAGCAGCACCATCACAGTGACGACACCTGAAAGGAGAAATGCTCATTCCTGATTATCCTCCAGAGACCACGTTCAGCGTTCGACAGATATTTAGAGTGCAGTAGATTCCCCCGACTGTGCCAAAAATCATGGTTCAGAGGGATCGACTGAAAAACATGAGGGGAAAATAAAAATCCAAAAATATATATTTGTTTATATTTATATATATTTATATATTTACGAGGTATGTATCCACAAAGAAGAAAAGAAATTCCAAAATAGGCAGTCTGTGTTTTTCCAAGTGAGTCCTTACTTGCGATGCCTTAAGGAAACATTAATATTAATAGTAATTTTAGTCAAAAATTAAAAAAAATACAACTGGGAAACTTTGCTGTCCGTCAGCCGTGCTCTGAAACCATAATCTCCACTGTTGGGAGTCTGAAGGCTCCAGATTAGCGGTGACGTCAGGCAGCTGCACTCCAAAAACAGAAAGAAAACAAAGTCTGCAAATCTCAAAATCCAAATCCAAGGATTCACTTCAAGAGAAGAATAAAATAAAACCTATCAGGTGAAACTCCCCTAACCGTTGATTTCACAACAACTGCAGTCTCAGAGTCTCCGCCGTGGAGCTGGCGCCGAACTGTTGAGGCTGGGTTGAGGTGTTTGTACTGGAGAAGTGAAGAGAGGTCAGCCACAGGTCCAAAAAAAGGTGTCTTTGTGCAACAAAACAGGCCTCACCATTAAAGTGCCCCTATTAGCCTTTCTGGGGTTTGCTAAAACACCTTGTTTGTAGTCCAAACTTTTCCTTACGTTTCTGATCTATGTCACTGTGTAACATGTTTAAATAAATCCTGCCTAGCTGCTAGTGTGGGGCACTCTAACAAAGAAACACCCGCCCTCCACATGCTCCTTCGCCGTGGGACATTATTTTGTTGCTAGGGTTGCTGTGATAACTCTAAAATATCTCCAATACTAGCAAAGCACACGGCATCGTCCGTTTCTGGCTAAAACAAGAGCATTAATATGCTCACGATACCCGTCAGTTTTATCCTACCCTCTAAGGCAGTCGTGTCAAACTACGGGGACTTGAATCGGCCTGGCAAAGATGCCAATCTGTCCCGCTGGATGGCTTTGGAAAATATGGAGGAAGGCATGCATCTTTGGACTTTTAACTGTATTTTTTTTTAAAGTTTTACAGATTCTCCTGCTGATAAAGACCTCCCCCACAGCCATTTATACTGAACCAGAGTAGTTAAATAATAAATAAACAATTACATGACAGAGAAGTTCCTGTTTTTCACTGTCTACTGTAGAAATTTCAATTTAACTTTTTAAATTCATCAATTAACAAAAGCTTTGTTTTATAAATACAGGACAGTCTGTGAGGTGAGCTACCAGGACTTTTCTGTATTTTTACATATTTCTCATGTAGAACATGTGCTCTTTATCTTATCCTAACATATCTCAGGAAATGAACTGTGTGGCAGAAAGTGGGGTTTTATTTGTAAAATGAGTTTGATATAATTACATTAAATAGAGGAAAATTCCCAGCAACACTGCTCTAATGGACATATTCTATTGTTCTGTCTACTGTTGTAATTAACATTTATACAATTTCAAGAGAACAGCTGTGTTATGTTTGATGCTGTTGGCGTGTCTTTCTGAAGTGACCACTGCTAACGTGTTCTAAGTTGGCAGCTGTTAAAGGGCTATGCTGGCTGGGCACAAAAACGCTGCCTTGCTTCTGTTATAGCAGTGGACCGAGTGGAGCAGACTGGGCTCAGACGGCGAGAAGAGGCGCTGCAGGAGTGCACAATATGAATTTTTCTTTTTTAAAGTAATCCTATTAGTTAAAAACAGCATAATAGGGGCACTTTAACTGAAACAAATAACGAAGGAGCCAGGTGTCCTCCACACATTTGTTAGTCAGGCTGGCAGAAGGCGATGGCTGCCCACTGTAGTCATGCTAGGTACTGCTGCAATGCTGTCTTCGCTCTGAAAAGAGACACAGAATGAGTCCAGCAGGCTAAAGGAGTGTCTGATAGGATATTTTCTTTTTTGTGACGCACTGTTCTGGCCCACCTGTCACTGAGGTTGGGCTCAGAGGATTGTGTGAGTTTGTGCAGGATGTCCACAAAGCCCATCTCCCTCAGCTTGTCCTGACGCTCCTGAGAACCTGATGACACACAGTGAAGCAGAGAGGACAAATAACAATGTCTGCTGACATGTAAAATCCCACTGCAGCTGTGTGTTCATTAATATGAACACAGACACATGTTCCACAGCTGTATCTTAGCACCAAAGCCTCCAATCAGCTCCCTCCTCTGTCCCTGGTCAACTGCCTTGAAGACGTCAAGATCTGGATGTCAAATAATTCCCTCAAACTGAACTCTGGGGTGTAGTTCCCCAAGCCCCAGCTCCAGAAAGGGACTGATCTATTCCATGATGTGGATGGCTGCTCCTATTCACCATCTCCAGGAGTCTCCATCCTGGGTGAAACTAGAGAACATCACCAGACTCTGGCCATTATCTCAAATTCCCCAGCTGAGACCCCCCATTCATCACCTTCATCACCTCCTGCTTGGAGTGCTGCAATGGTGCCTTGGACAAGCTGCAGTATGCTCATAAAACAAAATTGACAAAGTTTCTACCGACACCAAGTCGTGACAACACCCCGCCTTTATTCACCTCTTGGCTTTGATAAAGTTCGGTATCTCCTATAAAATCCTGCTTCCCAGTGCTGATCAGACATTTCACCTCCTACACTCTGTCCTGGACTCTGTGTTTCCCAGATAACAGCCTGCTCTCCTTCCCTAACAACACAGCCTTCAGTGCTGGTACCCTGATTCTTTGAAATATGCTCCCTTCTGAGATCTGCCCACCTTTGGGCATTTTCAAATAGTAGGTGAAATGTCACAAGCCTTCAGGACAAAAGGCAAACTATAGAAGAGAAATCAGAGTTTAATTAATAATGATGAATGAGTAAAGAAGAAACACTCAGTGCAAAAATGATTCCCAGATTCATCCCATCTGGTCACACAGCATGTTAAGATTTAATGAAGAGAACAATAACTTCAGTTTTAGCTGAATTTAGAAGCAGGAAATTAGAAATCAGAGACATAAAGGGATGAAATTCATTCAGGCCGAACACATTTTCTCTCCAGCTTACAAGTTATCTCCTTTAAGGCTCAATGATTGTTGCTTTTTTTCACTATTATCAAGACAATTGACCTCTGTGGGAGCAGAGTTGGCACTGAAGACAATAAAAGTGAAGGAAGGACATCTTAAAACTCTGTTACAGCACTTTCAGAAGGCCATGTACTATAATTAGTATTAAATCCCCTGTATATTCCTATGGCTGACCTCTTTTTAAAACAAACAAACACAGAAAACAGTAAACTGTAGCTTCAAAAGTCTGAGTTACACTCTCCCTGAATGAGCATTTAAAAGCCTAAAATGTAAACAACCATTTGAGAGGTCGACTTTATTACCATGCTCCTTCCATCCTACACACACATCTTTCAGCGTTGTACTCGCCTGTGACGTGCCTTCATTCTGGTAAATGTTCTATAAACTAAAGCTGAACACTTAAGACCTCAGTTCTTACTACTTTAACGTGAGCTCAGCTTTCTTCATGTTCCTCGGCCCATGCCCTTTCTTTATTAGTCCATGTACCTGTGCGCTGCATTTCTTACCGTCCTCCTCATTCCAGATAAGGTTTGAGACGCAAAAGGTTGCAGCAAGCTGCAGTTTCACATTCGAATGCCCCTGTGGGAACAGCAGACATCAGAGAAGTTACAAGTCAAGAAAGACGGGACAATGACACAGATCAATCAGGCCGCGACCTCTAGTATGTGCTTAAACACTAACAGTGTGCACAGTACCATGTAGTATTTGATTTTCTGGAGCATGTCGTCATTGGTCATGATGAGGTCCTTGGCTGTGTTGCCATCGGCAATGTTGACTAGGATGCACAGCGTCTGACAGACAAAGTGTTACATCAGTGCTTTTATCTGAACAGTTTGTTCTGAGATTAAAAAATAAATAAAAGAAAGCAACAGGCAACACATTCACAAAACTGGCAACATTTGATCATCACACTGTGTTTGTGGACGGGGACGTCAATCTGTCCACTTAGAAGGCACAAACCGAGTCAAACTGATAACAAGAGCACTGGCCAGGCAACAACAAGACAACCCCCAAACCATGGACCCCTCTATAGCTCTGCCTTGATGCCTGCAGTACACTCAGCTTGTAGTTCCCTCAGTATTGCACATCCATACGTACTGTCACATGAAGGTTTACTGTACAGCACAGTGTCAACGATGTGGAAGAAATACCACGAGGAATCAATATGACCAAAATCTCATATTCGATATGACATTTCTCATCCCAATGATGATAGAAATCACAAAATAGTGCTTTTTCTGTAAACGCTGTGACTCTCAGGCAGCTCGACCTGGGCGTCATGTACCTGGAGTCGAGTGTTTTGATCGATGCATGAAACTTTATATTTGTAGATAAAAGTTGCAACAGCTGCCATTTTCTTTCTGAGTATTTATTACACGGCACGCTGCGGGGAAAAGCCTGTTCTAATGTTTTGAGCACCTGACGGCTCTTTTTTTGCTTCTCATCCTTAAACTCTCTCCTTACTCTTTCACGTGATTCGTTCGTAGGTGGTTGAGAGGTTTGTCGTGTTTGAGTCTGTGGTGGGGACCGGTTTGCAGCATAACTTGCATAGTACAGTGTTCTGGTCCGTGTCAGACTTTTCATAACCAAACCATGTCCATGCTACAGAGGGAGCCTCTCATTTAGGAATAAGGTCCTCGATTTTTGTTGACTGGTCCTTCTGTTTGGAGCTGCCTGGTTCGTCTTCACTGGCCATGCTGGTATTCTGTGTGTCTGCATCCACGTGGTGGCCATCCCAAAAAAATATATTGCTGTAAACAGTGGATTTTGCTCCACGACGAAATAAAAGATAGCTTATAATATGAAACCAGAGAAGTTTTAATTTCGTCATCCGATACATTTCGTCATATGGCACAGCCCTAACCCCCCACACACACACACGCACACACACACCTTCATCACCAGGAACCCAGGGCCCACTGCACCAGTACAAGGTTTATTTTATCCACTTACCAAATGCAGCTGGACGAAAACTCCCACCCACTCCATGACGTGCACCAGTGAACAACACCGGAAATCATCTCCTTGTATAACTCCTCCATCGAATGCACAGTGCAGTAGTTACACCCTTTTGCACTTGCTCTACAGCAAAGTTTTACAAATTAATGTTAATCATATCTATTTCACTTCTTATAATTGAGCTATTTGTAAATATTAGAGCCATTTCTTATATTTTGTAAACTTTGTAATATATTGTATTATTTAATTTAGTTCAGTCTGTTACTGTTATTTTCTTGGAGCAACTGTAACCACATATTTCAACCTCCTCCAACATGTCCTTTCTGAAGGCTCTCTTGTTGCCTGTCCAGTCCATCTGTTGTTACTTTCATCTGCATCAAAAGCAACTGTAATAGATTCACAGTGGTTTGTGCTCCCTAACTGGACAGATTGATATCGCTGAAGTTTAAGTGAGTGAGTGGCCTTGGAACCCTTACTAGATTGACAGGCAGCAGCAAATGCTTCTCCAAGATCACCGTTATCTTTTCTACTGGGCACTGTGTTAACACACCTGAACATTCCAGACCAGCAAACTGTCAAAACGTCTGCATTTATAGAGATGGTCAATTAAGTACATTTGTTTGCAGCACCTGGTTGCTGCTTTTCCCTGTATGATGGGAATGGTGCAATGTGTCCTGTTGTGCTGTTCATCCAGGATTGTACTTAATTTTATGACCTGTTTTAGACCAGATTATTGTTTATGTCCTGATACAAACACCACTGAATTTAATAGGACAAGACTGACCTCAGGCAGACAGCCTGTGATCACATAAGCAGAATGTTTAACTGCTCTGCCACACAGCAGCACGCTGAACTTAGAAAAAATAAATCATCTGTACGTGTGAAGCAGACGGGTGCTCACCTGCTCTTTGACCTCTATACTGTGCTCCGCTTCGAGGATGAGGGTAACTGCCTGCATGATCTGCTTCCCGTGGGAGCTCATGACCTGGTCAATGTGCTGACAAAATGAGAGTTGGGAGTAAAGGGGAAGCAAAGGAGAATCAGTCTGCATGTTGCACTTAAGACCTCTCGACAATTCATTCAAATTCAGCCCATACTGGATCGTTCATATGTAGTGATAACACAAGAAAGTGGGGAGCATTCAACGCTGACCCAGAGGTCAAGTACCACCTATGGCTACGTTCACACTGCAGGCGAAAGCGCATCAAATCCGACTTTTCTGACCCTGTGCGACCCATCTATCCCATCATGGTATGACAGTGTGAACAGCACAAATCCGTCCATCCATCCATCCATCCATCTTCATCCGCTTTATCCGAGACCAGGTCGCGGGGGCAGCAGCCTAAGCAAAGAGGCCCAGACCTCCCTCTCCCCAGCCACCTCCTCCAGCTTATCCGGGGAAATACCAAGGTGTCCCCAGGCCAGCCGAGAGATATAATCTCTCCAGCGTGTCCTGGGTCTGCCCCGGGGCCTCCTCCCGG